TTCTTTCACTCAATAAATAGTTCTTCTCTTAATCTTGGTTGTACCTAAAATTCATTCATAAGTTTAAAACAACATGAATTTCTGCTGCACATATAGAGGGTAGACAATTTCATTCCCCTATATCAAAATCAGCAGTCAAAGTGCTGGCAAAGACTCAACTCTTCTTGCAACCATGTGCAAAGAAGTAAGACCTCATCTCTAAATGCCAAAAGGTTTTTATTAACTAAATCTTTTTTCAAAATTTGGAGGATGTTAATAAGGACCAGATTTCTAAGGTCAGTCACTGGACAATAAGAAACAACAAATGTATCTTGAAATCTTTGGTGTCCAAAAGAAACTCCTTCCCATGTTATTTTAGTTGTGATGTCCAACATATTTCCAAACCTTCAACACTGGGGTCCTAACTACCTATCTTACCTCAGAGATGATTAGGAGAGCTGATCAATAGATATAGAAAAAGATTTTATCCATGACTAAGTTTCCCTCCTTTCTATAGGCCTGTGAGCTTTTTCCTACTCTCAGATCTACCAAGCAGACAATCCTTCAGTGCTGTCACAATAGGTCAAACTCACCTCAGAAGTGCTTTACTGAGCTGGCTGCTGATTGGGCCTTCCTCCACATGCCCCTGCTCTCCCATTTCCTTTCCATCATATTGGCACATGTTATTAAAACTTTTGTCATTATTCTTTAATACTCATGCAGCTCCTGACCATGTGAAGATACCTCTGCTTAAGTAAAACAGTCCATCTCATCATTTAAATTTCTTTTTGAGACAAGGACTCATGATGTAACTCAGGATGCCTTGTCCTGGAACTCACTTCATGCACCATGCTTGTCTTAAACTTGCAAGGATCCTCCTGTATCAGCCTCTTGAGTGCTGGATTTAAGTGCATGTGCACCCACACCCTACTCAGTGCTTCAAATTTCAGGTCAAACTAAAGCACAACCCAAATGTAACAAATGTTTGCAGTTTTGAAACCTACTTCCATTTCCACTCTCATATTTATCAGATCTCTACATCCCTGTAGACACCAATTTGCTGTTTTTCTCAGTGTGGGATTAGCAGGCAGCACCTACAGGAAGTTGTTCTCAGCAAGAAATTTCCACTCAGGAGCTAGTGCATCACCATTCCCCAAATACCTCACAACATTCTAAACTTTAAGAAAACACTTGCTTCAGTAGTTCAATTGTAAATAAGTTATTTATCTACTTAGCTTATAAATAAGGCACTTGCTAAGGAAATGGCCTGAGGTAAAGTTGCAAAAGTAGTGGCTGGGATAAGAATTAAAATCAGAATGGGCCATGACCTAGGACTTTGAGCTTCACAATAAATTGCAGATTCTAGTCTACCAGAGTGGCTTGCAGGTGCTAATTACTAAACTCCTGAGGTAAGAGAAATGTAAAAACAAACATCCAGTTTATCTCTAAAACCTGTTTCCTGTAGACCCCACAGGCTGAAGAAAAGGGTTGGAGAACCTCAGCTCAAAGTATTTCTTTTTCTGGGTGCAGTGACTCAGGGTTGTAAACTCCTCACCCTGGAGACTGATGGAGGAGGATGGCCTGCAGCTCAAGGGCAGGCCAGACTACAGAGATACACTCTGTATCCAAACAATAAATAATAAAACATAAAAGAAAAAAAAAGGAAACAAAGACAGAGATATATTTTAAATCCATAGAGCCAGGTGTATCCTCAAGGCTGTCTACCCACATAGGAAACATTCCCGAAGTCAAGGAGCTTTCTCATTTTTATTTTGGTTTCAGAACTCATAACACACAGTGCCATGAGATTATGAGTTCTGTTCGTGCCATAACATCACTGCGAGTAGAAGTCTCACATAAAGAATTCAAATGATAGTGTTTTCTCATTTTGAGGACAGACTTCAGGTTTGCCTCCAAAGCACTGCACTCCTTAAACACAGCTGTGCCTGAGGCTGTGCAAAAGACACTCTGTGTGTACAGGGGTTCTGCCCAATACCATCCAGACCTGCCAAAATTCCATCCCATTCCCAGCTCCAGTAACATCAAGTTACCATTGCTATGCTTGAGGATATCAAAGGATCCTTTCCAGTCCTCAGTAAGAAGAGGTCACAGAAACTTGATGTGAGCTCAGTTCCAGGCACTCAGCACTGAACTCTCAGTGAGCACTTCTATAAGAGGGCTGGGATGAGCCCTCCTCCTTTCACCCAGCTTTATGAATGATTGGCTTCTGGGCCCATCTCTCTTCTATTATGTCACCCTCACCTGCCAGGATTCATAGTTTACTCTTGGCTTTTTATGGCTGTCCTTGGTTTCCTTAAAGGTTTAGTGCCCTCTCCTGAATCTGGGTCCCAAATGTAACCAGGTGAATGTCTTGTGGAAGAACCAATCCCTTGTGAACAAAGAAAACTTATTTGTAAAGCTTAGGCTGGGACAACTTGTCATAGGTAGGGGCTGCTGTCAGGAATAAGGCCATAAGCTTTATTGCCCAGATGTTTCCAGGCTCTCTCTCAGTCTGCTCATTTGCATTAAACTAATTTTTAGATGTCTACCAAGAGAAGTCCATTACAGCATGAATGAAGAAACTGCACATTAACAGTAAGGGACTTCTGAGAAAAGGTAAAGATAAAGGAAAATCAAACAGTTGAACTGCTTCAGAAAGCTTTACACTGTATCCAGTGCCATAAATCATACCTAAGTTTTGAACATAATCCTAGCCAAGCATAAGATTCACTATTACTGCTGAAAGAGAGTACCACACTTGATCCACTAGATCACTTCCTGGAATTGAGTGTGGGATAAAAAAAGCACTTTTGATTGTGTTATGGATTAAGAACTGGTGGTCAACTTAATGCCAGATGGATTACATCAACATGGCATTGAGTGAAGATGCTCCACCTGAGGAAAGTTGCTAGGATAAATAAGTGGAGAAGAAGCGGTGCTAAGGCATTAGGGCATTACTGCAATGAGGTATAATGGGTTCTCCTATGAGTTGCTGTTTGAACTGTTGGTTCTCCTGGAGAAGCTCTGGTCCTCACACCAAGCATTGCTTCCTGGCTCCAGAGGGGAAGACATGTGCTGCTTGGTCTCCAGGATTAAATCATCATGCTCCTTCCTAGCATGTACCCAACTGTGCTTGTTTGGAGGAGCTCAGGGCTTCTGTGTCACTGGGATGGCTGTGGTGCCTTCAAGGACAGCCCTGGTCTTTGTTGTGAGTGTGACTTCTTGGCTACAGTGCAGAACCCTCATCCCACCAGCACAGCTCCTTCATTCTGCTGGCATGGACTTTCTGGCTTCCACCACTGACCCTTGGGTTTTCCCGGCATGGATCCATAAAAGAGTCTGGGGTGAGTCCTTCTTGTGGGCTCTGGACCTCCAGTTGGACTCCTGGGAAGCATTGTCCTGAGTTCTGTGTTTTTATCTGGATTCATGTAGGACATTGCTGTGGGATTTAGGCCCTTGACTAAATATTCTACGCCTTTGGTGTTGTGGATATATTTCCTCCTTTTTCCTGTGTTAACTCCTCATGACCATTATAAAAATAATATTATAAACTCCATGTCCTGATTCTAATTGTTTTCAATTTACAACCCCTAACTACAACAGACTGTAAGTGAAAACATTTTTGGCAAGTATGTATATATTTTACTCTAGAATCATTATATTTTTCATTAACCTGTTGCATAATTGTTGACTTGACTTCATGTGCAAGATTGCTTTTAGTCAATCTATATACTTTAGATCTAAAATATAGAAAGTATAAAAGAAAACCTAATGAAGCTGAAGTAGGAATTTGCAGGTAGGAAATAGTACCTGAGTTGGGATCATAGAGCCTGGCACAAGTTGCAGGGAAAGGTTTTTTTTGTCTCTTTAATCAATGCTGCCAGGAACATAGGCCCTCAATTATGCAGCCACTACCTTTTCACAGGTAGCAGTCTGACTGTCATTTCTCTTCCTTCTTACAAACTAAGTGTTTTTATTTTCTATTTCAATCTTGCTGTCTTTAAGCCCTTATTTTTATGACTGTCACCGTCCCTTATTTACTATAGTGCAGTAGTAGGGTGTGCACACCATCCTGTGGCTAGGTAAGATAGAAAACCATTTCTCTTTTCCATGGATTCCACTTATTTATTGAACAGCAAAAAATTATTTTCTTTTCTTGTTTACTTTTTAGTAAAAAAAGGAAAATATCTCTCCTAAGTTTCTGTTTTTGTCCACAACTACATTCCTTGTTATTGTGTTTCCCTGAGCTCAGTTTGTACCAAATTAACAGGTCCAATAACTTTCTCCATAATGATTACTGGTTGGCTGTTGATAATAGCCTTTCTATCCACCTAATAACAATGCCTCTTGAATAACAGACTTTTCATAAGTGTGCTGATGCAGTTTTATTTACCAATCATGTATGTAACTAGATTTATTGTAATGGGTTTATCTGACATCAATTGCATAAAATTCTGTTTCTAACCATCAAGCTTCTGATGTATTTGAGGCCCTAATTCACTCCTTAGAAAAAACTGGAAACCTTACACTATCAAGTTCCATATGAAATTCCTGCAGATGTCTGTGACAGCCTTCACAGGGCACAGGTACTTTATTGGTCTTAATATTAAATAAATGTTATTCATGAATTTTGGATTCCTGAGTGTCTTTGTGCTTATAAGAAGAGATGGTAACTGAATTTTTACCATTCTGCATTTGTGTTATGAACTTTCTATCACTGTGATAAAGTGCCTGAAAAATCCAGGCATTAGAAATGGAAATTTCCTCTAGGTGTATTTTATCTCATACATTCTGAAGATCAGCCCATGGTGCAAATGTGAGATAGAGCACAGGAGCTCACCTCATGTTGACCAACATGCAGAGTAAGAGATGATATAGCTACATCAAAGTAGGCAGGGTCCAAGGACACTATGTGCATGTGTGCGTGTGTGTGTGTGTGTGTGTGTGTGTGTGTGTGTGTGTGTGTATGTTTCTGTTTCTCTCTGTGTCTGTGTCTCTATGTGTCTGTGAAAACACAGGGATTCAACAACCCCAATGGGAGCCCCTGTTCTTCTCTACACAGCTATGACCTGTGTCACTGTGCAGCTCAGCCCCTCAGTGCCCTAAAGCTCAGTTTTCTGTCTCCACATGGTTGCTGTATCTTAGTGAACTCAAATCTCAATCCCTGTGTCTCACGCAGTGATGCTCAGCAGCATCCTCATGATCACAAAGGCCAGTTGCTGCAAAACAGGCTCTTGGAGTGGTCTTTGGAGTTGAATGCATTATACTGAATTAAAGCCTGTAGTGTGCATAACATCTAGCATCAGTGTGAACAAATCATTCCAACCCTACAAATTGCTAAGGAGTAACAAGTGGGATACAACATACAACTGACATTGTTATATAAAAATTTAAAACAAAATTATTGACTAGAGACACTGTACTGCTTCCTTCCATCTAAGTTGAGCATTCAAAGATGGGATACTTGACATGTCCTACATCCAGCTCAGACACCACTATCTCCAGCTCCATCCTGATCCTGATATATCCTTGCTCTGTCACTAACCACTCATATTCCCCAGGCAAACACCAGGATTGGCATTTTAGGATTTAGTGAAGGCCCTTAGTCCACTGACAGTGTCTGCTTGAGAAGGAAATGGCCCCTGCAGGAGGGTTACACCTACCTTTGCTTACACCTCCCTGTGTCCATTTTCCCTGGACAGGTGTTTCTTATCTGGGACACAAGAATGACTGAATAAAAGGTACTTTTACAGGTCCCTAATGCTTCTTTGGCTCTGAGCCATCCTATTTCACATCCAGTATTCTCAAGGCCTTCCTTCATGGTACTGCTCTCACTTCAATGTGGCAATGCAAAATAAGGATGTAAAATTGTGAAGACCTTTAAATTCCAACCCAGATTTCCTACCCTCTGCACTGGGGTCCTGAAGATGTATCATCCATCTATGCAGAAAATAACTCCTCTGGCCCAGATAACTGCTGGTGTTGTCAAAGGAAAACAAGGACATCTGTGGATGAAGGATGCCTTATTTCTGCAGATTGTCCCTCTCAGGGACCCCTATAGAAGATAGATAACCAAAGAATTGCAGTCTTTACAAGCTTTTACTTTTAAATCATGCATGGATCCAAGTCCTTGAGGAACAGGTCCCTTTTTGGGAAAGTTTCCCTTTACTGAAGTGTAAGGCAGGTCCCCTGTTAAATTCCCTTCTGCTCTGTGTACCACAGACAGGGACCCGTATTGATCTTATGCATGCACTAGTGTTTCTCCTACACATGGAAAAAGGTCACTGAGTATCAACACCTTTGTCCACTGACCCTGGTGGATTAGTTTCAGGGTCACCAATTGGAGGCGACAGTTGCGTGATGAGAGAATTCATCTCCATCTATGAGACTTATATTCTACAGGACACATTCTAGCCAGGATGGACACAATGCTAGTGTGGTGGGTCCAGATACTAAGCTTTTCCATTGTTGACCTGAGAAACCAGGATAGACATGAACACAAACATCCATGAGTATGTCAGGTGTGTGGCTACTTAGTTGAAGGAAAATGTCTGTCCAGTGTGTCCTTCTGGGTCTGTGACTTCAGCTGCATCTCATGGCACACCTGGATGTCCCAAATGTGCATGTGAGATAGCCATTGCAGTGATCATGAAGGGGAGAGGGAAAAATGCTTTCAGCATGGTATGGAAGTTGTGGAAGCAGATGCTGTTCAAGGTTGCCCTCTCTTCTCCCAAGTCTCCTCTGCCACTTGCAGCTTCACTAAATTCTTCAGGTGAACCTGGGTCCTGGAGCTCCCTCAGCTCCAGTCCTATCTCATCACACAGTGTGCCTGATGCTGTGGGATTCTGTGATCCCTAGGATTTCCTATCATGTGACACCCACAATAAAAGTCTAGGGATTTGGATCACTATCCCCTGACAACTGTTCCTTTCTGAGACTGCCCATTTGCTTTCATTTATTTCATCTGTGAATTATTTTAATTGTTCCAGATCATATTTGAACTCTGAGCTCTGTACATGAAATATGTTATCTCTATATAGGATCCATTTCTGAAAATGTCCTTCGTGTTGCCTTCCATCTGCACCAAGTTCTGTGTCCATTTCTCAATGATCAATACTCTTTTCCCTGTATCAGGGACCTGAATGATTATTATTAATATTTTTCTTGAGATTCTGACAGCTTCTGGAGGTAACATGTGGACTCTGTGGCACCTAGTATGTGATGTTAACTTCTCATGGTCCTCTCCTGTCCTCCAGTCATCCAGCATCTTGATATCAGTGCTCCTTCCACTGTGGGCCTGAGGCACTTGCTATACCAGGAAGCACTGCTTCCCTGGGATCTGGATATTCTGTCTCTCTATGATAATTTGTGTTCATTCAGTCTGCAAATGTATTTCTTTCATTGGTGAATCAAAAGAGAATGATGTTTAATTTATCCAGTTTTTTGTAGATTTGAGTATGTGATAATAATTTTCTATTTCTTTACAAGTTGGAGAAAAAGCTATGTACAACTTCAGCAGCCAAATTTGAACTCAGTGGAATTAGGGTTATAGGATCAATAATTGAAAATGACATTTGCACATCCATGACTGAAAATGCAATAACAGAGAAAGAAAGAGAAGGAAATACATGAAATGTTTTAGACATTTCAGGGATGTATTGTTAACTGGAATTAAGAAGATACATCAGAGAGAATCTGACTAAATCTCAGGAGATGATGCATTCTGGAAGATGTCCTTGTTTTCACCTGGAAACAAAAGATGCACGTGGGACATCACATCAGGAATAGGAAATCTCAGCCCTTAAAACAAGGACACATCAATGATGATGCTGGTCCAACTCAAGTGCAAGGCAAGCAGAGGAGGTGGAGGTGCATCTGACTTCCCAGGATAAGTGTGACCATGGCTACATTGTATTTTGCTGAATTAATGATTCCCTAAGTTCTAAAGTTTAAATGGAAAGAACAGGCCAAAGTTCCACTCAATGCACTCTCATAGGAAGAGAACATGAAAGCCCTTGGATTCTGCCCTGAGTCCAGCCAGGCTGCCTTTTTTTCTTCTTCCCTGGGGTCTCTGTGTGTTGCTGGGGCTGAAGTGTGTGATTAGGACTTCTGAGGGGGCCAAGGAGAAGAGAGAACTTTGAGTTCTCAGAACTTAGAAATAAGAACTTGATGCACTTAATTTACTAAAGTGAAGCATTTATTCCTCAATGATAAAATTGATTGTTATCCAGAAAAAATTAATACATTCATTTTAGATGATGATTAATTGCCATATTAAGAAAGCAATGGTATATATGAATCTAGAGTGAAGCTGCTAGATTGGTGAGGAGAAATTTGTTTTTCAGCACAATTGAAGATACACCCATAGGAAACAAGAGTAGCAAAATATGAGCAGTGATTCCTGTCAATACTTACATGGCAGACTTGGAGGGATGTAGAGACACAGAGCTGGAAATGCTTGGGTAGCAAGTATCATGTCACACATCATAAGGACATCCTTAACAACACAGCATATGCACCTGAAACTCTTTTGTTGTTATTGTTGTTGTTATTGTTGATCAGGAGAACCTCTTGCCAGTTAAAAGCACCCCAGGTTTATGTCTGAATTTACACTGAGGTCTTCTCAGTGTGTTTTGCTCAGTAAAATGTGATGGTGTCCTTGGAAGTCATGGAGTTCAGTTGCAGGTAAAAGTGGTTCCTATTTGTGTCACCAGTGAGGGAGATGCAGACTTGGAAAGCCAGGTGGTAGATTGTGCTCCCTAACAAGTATCCCATCCATTGTAGAGCTTTCCCAGGAGGCTGGTGGCTCCAACTCCAGTAGTTACTGCAAAAGAGCTCCTCATGGCAGTGCAGGTGAAGGACTGGAGCTCATCTCATTCAGTAGGCTCGATTCTGACTCACAAAGTGTCAGATCAGACAGCACACATGAGGACAATAGGAGTCATAAAGACTTGCCAATCCAACAGCCAGACCCCTTAAACATCTAGAGACCTCAGGACTAACCCTAAGGTTCATGTTGTTTGCATGTTGCCTGCAGGATGAGGACACTCACAATAGCTTAGCTGCTGACAGAAATTTATTCTGCTAGCCCCTGACCTAATTTGCACTTATGTGTTGAAAGGTAACATATGGGATGCTGAGCCAGGGTGACTATCAATGTGTCCAAGATTGGGCATTACTGTGTATGGGAGCTGCCCAGCCTAGCACTGACCATGTGACATTTATCCATGCCTAAGCTGTCCTCTGTTCTGTGGCTTTCATGTGTGGTTGATGTAGTTGTTAGGCATGATCCAATGTCAAAAGAGGTAGAATGCTCTTCACACTGCGGAATCTAGCAGGCTACTTTAGTGATCTCAACACGAGTGGGCTGGGGGCCTATTGTTTCTAAATTATCAATGAAGACCCAGCTTTGAGTTCAGTTTAAATAATTTTCAAGCAGGAATTCAAGGTAGATTAAGCTATTACATGATTGGTCCCCTGAATCTAATTAAGTCACATATTTTCAGGCAACTTAACTCTAAATACACTTACTTAAAAGCCATCATTTAATGTGATGTAGGAACACAGTGGGAACAAGGAGAAGGGATTTGAGTGGAGCAAGCAAAGTTTAAAATATCCTTGATTGTATCACTTTGTTCAAATCAAAGACCTTGAAACAAGTTGGAAACAGGATATATGTTCTTTTAACTAAGGGAATCACAGCTAGGAATAGTCTGCTTGATCAGTGCATGATCAGCAGAAAGCAGCGGAGCAGTCAAGGCTCCCTGAATGCCTGAATGTAGCAGAGTGCTTATATGAAAAGCAGCAGGAGGATAGGCAGAGGCCACAATTTGATTTTTCACTTGCTCTCACATCTTTAAGTTTGTTGTGCTAACTGTGCCTTTACTATTTTATAATCATTCCCTTGCACCATGAGGTCATCAGGCTGTACTCCCAATGCAATGTCCAGAGAACACTCCATGCAGGTGACTTACTTGAGGAGGTGCACAATGTACTTTTCCCATCTATCTGGGACTGTAATGGTCTAACTCCATCAAATATGAGTCTTTCAGAATTCACAATGGTTTCCTCTTCAACATCTCCCTCATTCATGTCACATCATTATCATGTGTGCCTCACATAATTAGCTTAGCTTTTCTATATTCTTTCAGTGCATTTTTTAGCATTGTTCATAACTAGATTCAACAGGTCCAATGTCTTATTACTTATTCCTTCTGTGCCTGTGCCAGTTTTCAAATTGGAAGGTTTTTGTTATGCCCCTCGAATCATGTAGAATGATTCACTTTGAGGTTTTTTGGTTTCTTTACCATCAGTGCCACACAGTTAAGTTTTGGGAGTGTTAGGATTTCTGGGAAGAATTCTGTTGGATTGCCTACTTGTTTTTCTATTTGTGTTTTTTGTTTGTTTTGTGTTGAGAATAGTTAGTTTATTACAGTGTACTACTTATTGTAGAGATGTCTTTGGTTAATTTCTGATTTTCAGTGATGTTCCTTGGAAGGGGTAAACCAGCAGCCATTGCCTTGTGTCCCAAGATTGAATCACTTCTGTTTAATTGATATGTAAGTTTGTAGCATGCTGGGCCTGATACACATTTCTCCATAATGGGTCACAATATTATTAATAACACCAAGTTAATGTAGATATTTGCATGTCAAAGAAAGTCAATTAATAGCAATACTTTGGTATGGTAATTAAATCAGTAGCCACTGTGTCATTAAATGCAAAATGAATAGCAACCCTAAGGACCAATAAAGTACTACACTTATCAATAGAAAACATATCTATATTTATGGTATGAATGCCAAGACAAAAAAAAATATTGACCTGCTGTTAACTAAAGTAAATATCTACTAAATGGAATATATTTACCTCTAAAATGTAGAACATTATTCAAAGGCAATACTGTAATGTACATTAATCACATAAAGATTCATAAATTCAGTAGCTACACTAGTCAAAATAGAGGTGTGTGAGAGCAGAGAATGGAAAAAGGAATTAACAGATTAATGAACAGGATATAAGAAATATTAGTATTTGAAAGTGTAAATATAGGCAGGTGCTGGGGTTTTGAAAACCTGGTCATGGCTTGATTCACCCTCTAATGGTACAGTGGATTAGTAGATTGTTGGTGAGGGGCTATTTTCTTGGCCACTTAGTGTCTCACACAGGATGCCACTGGTTTGGTTACACCCAATGTGAAGTGCTCTCTTTAAATCAGCAGAGGCTTGTGCCAAGCATTTGGCTGACTATAACAAAGGTTGACAATTGAACCCTCATCCTTCAACTTATTGAACTTATTCAATCTGCTCCATCCATTCTTTTCCAGCCACCGAAAATGGACTCAGATACTTACCAAGTGCCATGAGTTGGATGACATTTTCCTTATAAAACTGAGAAGGTGATGACCTATACTTTTTTTGCAGTTCTTAGTGTGGACAAAAAAATTGTGGGAAGGTAAAATTATTATCAACCAACATTTCTGCATAATTACAGCCACTTGTTCTCTAATGAGTTTTGGATGAAGAAAAGATATTAATGAGTTAGATCACTGTGTCACAGGAAAAAGAATTTAGATACACCTCTTTGGAAGGCTCTCAAATGGTTTGGCCAAAATATATACTCTTTCACATAAAGATAATTTTCCTTCTACACCAGATAATCATTCAGGTAATGGTTTCTCTAGTCTTTTAGATTTTGTGAATAATTATAATTATTTCAATTTATTTCTTGTTGTCACTATGATTATCATATACCTGTTTTATGTGCATCAGGAATTTACCCTCATACTCTTGCAGATTTTATGTCACTAGCACTGAACTTACACATTTTCTCTTCCTTGCCATTTTCCCCCTTCCAAATTTTACAATTCATTCTTTTCCAGCAAAATGGATCTTCTTTGGAAGTGTCCTGCTTACTTGAGGACACACATTAAAGCACTGGATGAATTGCTCCATGTACTTCCACCAGCAAATGATCCTGCAGTGAGTGAGGCAGAGACACAATTGTTAATATTTGAATTCAGACTGAAATTTATGGAAAGTAAGACATTTTGGAAGTGTGTTTCTCACACAAGATAGGAACAGCAATGGGGACATGGGATTGGAATTAGATTTCCACCTCAGAAGATCTTAGTAGAAAGTAAACTTAGTTCTTAACAGACAAGTGAAATTGTGTTTGTGGTGTACAACATGCTGTTTTGAAGTGTATCTGCCACCACTGAACCAGGTAACACCCACAATTTTTGCTTAAAACTGTAGGGAGATTTAAGGTCTTTCATACATTAAACCAAGGAATTAGATTCCTTAGGAAGTGCTGGCTAGGATATGAGAGAAAAACCCTGAGCCACTCTGCCCACAAAGGGGCATTGCTGCCAAACTAAGATGTTACTAGTGAAGAATTCCATGAGCAGATGAGGACCCTATGGGCAAAGGGTAAGACACCATCCTTATCTTGCCTATGTCTGGGAACCACTGTGCCTATGATGATGTCTTGATATTAGAAAACACATCAAAAGAAAGGAAAAAGCATTATACTAAATCTAAAGACCAAAAGACACAAATTACATCTGAATAGGCTTCTACAAAGTGTTTCTATATTTTCTAATATTATAAAACAGATGAAAAAGAAAACACTAGTTTGAAAAACCTGATGAGTCAATTTTAATGAAGACCTTTCTCAAGCTTCTAAAGTTGAACAACACTGTATAATTGTAATAAAACTGTATGACTGTATTACTGAAATAAATAAACTCTTAGAGAAGGAATCACACCACGCTTAAAATCTAGGTTGGAATAAATGCTATTATATTCAAAGAGTGATAGGATGATTATATACCATATTTAATGCAATATAACCATTGTTCTATATTTAACAAATAAACAATAGCAAATATAAAAAAATCAGTGCTTTTATATGTGTGGAATTGGCAGGTGCTGACTTTAAGCCATGTTCTTATTGTGCAGAGTGTTGGTTTATACCTGGGAAGGAGCGGGAGTGAGAAGAAGCTACTTGGGCCAGGTGAGAAACTCCTGAAATCTGGTACAGTAGTACACCACCATGTCCTCTGAGGTCATAGAGTACAGCTGCAAGGAAAAATTGTGGGCTGTGTCAGCTGTGATGGAGATGCAGTCGTGGAAGCCTGAGTTTTATTTTGTATTCCCTGTCCAGTACTTCATCCACTGTAGTGCTTTCCCAGGAGGCTGGTGAATCCAACTCTAAGCATAACTACAGGTGATGGAGTCACTGGTGACATTGCAGGTGAGGATCTGGGTTTCTAGGGGCTTCACCAGGCTGGGTCCTGATTCTCAAAGTGTCATATCAAATAGCACACCTGAGGACAAGGGGAGACATTGTGAGTCTTTCCCTTCCCATATCCTGACCCCTACAAAGAACTAGATACCCCAGAACTCTCACTCAGTGGAGTTGCCATTAGACAGAGAAGGGTCCACAGCATCTCCATGTTGCCTGCAGGATGAAGACCTCCACTTCCAACCTGCAGGTGACAGAGATTTCTTCTGCTAGCATGTAGGATGATTTGCATGTGTGAATCAGGGGCTGTATAAGGACTGAGCTGGGACAACAGGGCATCCTCACATCTGGCCCTCATGGGTGGGACCTGCTGAATGTGTCACTGCTGATATGGGAGTCAGCCCTGGCAGATGTATTCTCTGTTCTATGTCTTTACACAGTGTCAAGCTGTAGGTGATGATCACATAAAGAAAATATTGAAGGTTTCAGTTTGTCTTCTGTCAGTCCAGCATTCTGTGGCTTTTATACTAATTTCTGGAGAAACCTTTTTTGAAAGTGATGTTCCAGCTGATGCTACTGGTGGTCTCTACCTTGGTCCCACATGCATGGAACTGTTTCATCCATGTTAGTCATAATTCATATTGATATCTTCTCCAGACATCTTCTATCTACACAGGTGAGTACTGTGCTGGCTCTGATACAAGATAATGACCTAGTGCATGCCAAATTTTTAGCAAGATTTGGGTTGCTGAGAGTTCATATCTGAGAAGAGTGTGCTCAAATCTTAGGGCAGGTAACAGCCAGTGACAGCAAGGCAGAGGATGGGGCTGATGTATCTGGACTGAGGTTTGCTGGTGTTTTTGATGCCTGAGAGGTGAGGCCCACAGGAAGGAGGGAAGCCTTGATCTCCATGCAGCACAGAGAGAGTACTGCAGACAGCACAGGGAGGATTATTCAGTCAAAACTGATTCTATTCAAATTGAACAGTACATGAATTGGAGATAAAGACTCCTCATAAGTGTGTCTCCAAAAGAAGAGGGCTGCTGCCTTGATGATGATCTCCAGGCAAAATCTTCACAGCATATTGATTTTGTCATCTGGCCCTTTGTGTCATGCTCCAAAATATAGATACTCTGCAACTGTCAAGACTTGTGACAAAAGCCTCCACACTAACTCTGGTGTATAATGGAAGAGTAGGGAAATGAATTGAACAGGAAAAAGACTGTCAGGGAGCAGAGGGATCTGGAAGAATCTGTGTGTATCTATATTTAGATGATGGGAGTGATCTGACACCTTCAAGGGAGAGCACAATGTCAATGGAAGGAAAGTGGATAGAAGAGCAAATGAACTTTTATCAAATTTAGAAAAAACAAATACTTGAGGACAAGAAACTATGTGACTTTCAGAAAGCAAAATGGACATATTTTAAAAATAAAGCACATCATTATCAGGAGCATTTCAGTCTATTTTTGTCCCACATTTCTTTATCATTTCATATATTGAATGACACTATTCTTTGCCATATGGGGCAGTTATGAGTTAAGCAAAAACAAGTAACTTCATGCTAATGTTTGTGGAATATACCTTTTTGTTTTATTTTATTTTATTTATTTTAATTTCTTTAAATGTATCCTAAAATCATGAAGTTTTTAATTATCTTAGGGAAAACATGTGATGTTTAAATACATGTGAAACTCATGCTGAATATAAATCAGGAGAAGAATTTTTCTCCTTTAGGTTAAAATCATCCCAACTCAGTTCTGCTAGCTTTGTGAAATTCACAGTGTGGTACTGTTACCTATACTGATATCAATTTGCAAAAGCAACTAGTGCCTCTTGTTCCATAGAACAATCCCTCAGTATTCATTCACCAATCTCTCCCTTCTTTCCTTCAGTCCCTTTTTTAATCTGTAAGAAAAAAAACTGAGGCATATTTTTTCCTGTGTTGTGCTTTCTGATGAAGTCTGGCTGTGCATCTCAGTGTCTTCTATGTAGTTTTGTTTTGTTGAGCTTCCAGCAGCAAGGAGTGTGAGTTTCTACTGCTCAGCAGGTTAGCAGGCTGGTAATATCATGTGAGGACTGGATTCACTGAAAAAAGCATTTTGTGATTTCTTGATAATTAATTGGGGTTTCCATAATTAAAATAATAGCACTTTGGCATTCACATGACTATTTGCATTTACATATCTTGTTTAGTAATGTGTCACTCAGATATTATATTTATGCTTTTGGGGAATGTCAACACAATAGCTTATGATTTGTAGTGGTTTCTCAAGATTGTGCTCAGAAACTTGTTCTCTAGTTTTCAATTGCTTCCTTGAAAGTAGATGTGCACATATGTATGTACACCTAAAAAGTGACCTACATATACATGAGTGTGATATACATACACATACATACACAAAATATGTACTGTATATAAGGCACATGCTAATAAAAAGAAACAAAGCTGTAGAATATAATACATCATTCAATTGTAAATAAATACACATTATCTTAAAAGCCCTAGTAATATGATTTTCTTTTAAAATAATCTAAATTAAACATTTACAATCTGCTTGAAGCAAATTTTTAGTTGACAAAATAGTATGGTAACATTTGAAGAATAAAAAAGAGACTCAGTTAAAATTTTTGAGTTAATAACCGCATGTCATGATTGATGTTTCATGTGAAGTAAAAGGAGCATGCTAATATGAAATGCCAATAATAGAGAAAGCTGGTGCTGGATAATGAAACTCTCTGTATATTGTTAATGTTTCCGTTAATTGATAGCTATGTATTTAAATAAACATAAAGTGAATTGATTTGTTCACTTTTTCCCAATTTTCATTCAATATCTAGCAAATATCATTGTATTGACACCTCCCATTTTTGGAAATGGATGGAAATGAAAGACAACTGAACTAAAAACCTATTCTGTTTGAAATTGTCCAGAAGCTCATGAACATGTCAGGCAGTTCTTTCCTTCTGGATTATTCCCAGGCTCTGGTTCACTGTTGTGGTAGCTGAAAAGGGGGGCATGTAGAGATTCCATGTGGTAAAAATAATGGCTGCTGCTCTGAATTGCATCCTGCTGTTCATGAGTTCTCCCACAGGGAAACTTATGTTTGGGCTCACACAGATGGCCCCACACTGTGTCTCTTGCACTGTAATGCATGGCCATGTCCTGGAGCCTCAGGCTGCTCAGTTCCATGTAAGCTCTGCTAGAGGATGTATGAGGTAAGGGCCCCCTCCTGTGGAATTTCTGAGCATATTTTGTTTCTCCACCCTCTGGATCAGTCCATCTCATCCATTCCAGGCACTGACCAGAGCCTCTGTCACACCATTGTATGAGGCCGTCTGTGAAGGTGTATACAGAGTCCTTACAGGAGACCTTCATTGAGGAACTGGGCTTTCTGAGTTAAACTCCAGATGGATGGCACCTTAGGAACTTGTTGAAAGGGTTTTTCCCTAGATAGGACACTACAGCAGTGAGATGCCTGACCAAAGGACATTTACCTTGAGGTCATTTTCCCTACCCCTAGGCAATTTACCTGTGGTGCAAAATGAATTCCAATGGGTGCTTGGGTGTCAGTGATGCCCCTTTAGGCACCACCACAGGCCAATATATATATATGCCCGACACCATGTGTCCAGCAGAGAAAGCCAGGCCCCAGTAGTAATGGAGTTTCTCTCCACATACTTAAAATAAAGGCCATTTTACTTTATTTTCTGCCATCTAATTCGGGCAAAAATCCTATCAGTTAGTTCCCTGGCCAGGAACCTGAGTGTGAGTGACTCCTGGGGTCCTCGCAGTTTGAGGCCCCTGCTGATTCATTGACTGGACTGCCTCCTGGATTAATTCATTTCTCAACACACTGGAGATGCTCAACTTGTTGCTGCTGGTCTGCAAACAACACCGGCCTAATTCATTTACTGCAGGTGAGTCAACACCCATCCAAGGATCACTTCATAATTTTGGGCATGTCCAAAACTGGATCTTACTTTTCCATCGCTGAACTGAAGTAGCGGTTCTCATATTCCTTGAGCAATCTGAGACAGAGCCATTACTGTAGTCCCCTGGGACTCCACCAATGCCTTTTGGTGATGGCTAGAGGGCAAGAGTTGGAATCCATTAACCGTGCATCCAAAAGATTAGGTGACGACCTGCTTCTGGAGTAGCCAAAGTTCACTTTTGGCTCATTTTAATTTTATTCAATCATGGGAAATACTTTTTCTTCTCCCCAAGTAAACATACTTTTGAGGTGCCTGATTCATAACCTTGGTGCTCTTGGCCTCTAAAAGGCTATGAAAATCCAGAAAGCTGATCTGTTATGTATGTTTTCATCACAAGGGTGGCAAGGTAGCAGAAACTCTTCATCTGTAGGCCTTTTTCACTTTAAGGAAGTGTCTTTCACTCTGCTCCTTCAGGATCTCTCCCCAGCCCAACACTTAGAATGCCACTCCTTTCTTTACAGTTTCTTGTCTGAATCTCAAACACCAAATTCTGTAGCTTTCTCAACCAAAGGCGGAGACCCCTGTATCATCTTCACCTCCTGCTTCACTCACCTGGCTCCAATTTCTCAATCCCTCCTCAGAGCAGGAAAGTGGCTGGGAATTGGGGAGGTGCACATGGACTGTGTTTGGCTGTGTGCAGGCAGGGCGGGTGGCAACAGTGCATGGTGCACATGGACTGGCCTGTGCAGGCTGCTCTGGGATCTCACACCATGTGCCAGCTCTGCACTCCCTTGTGGGCTCCATGTGCCCCCCCCCCAGGCAGTCCCATTCCCTGTGCATGGCTCAGCTCTGGTCAGACCCAAAGTTTGGTTCCAGGTAGCAGTGCAGAGGAGGTGGTGACAGGATAATGGGGGGGGGGGGCAAGGGCCTCCCAGCAAGGTGGCAAGGTGGGGTCCCCTGGCACTCATTTTTCACTTTCTAAGCTATCTCAGATTAGCCATAAATTAGGTTACTTTTCTGCTATTCTTATTTCAAGAGATCTCTATTTGGACTACAAGAAGGTTCAAACTAGTCAATGTATTATAGTTCAGATTGGTCAACTGTATTTGAGTGCACTCTAATTTTATAAGATATTGTCAGTCTATATATTTGTTGTCTGTTGGTTCAGTCCATTTATAATGTACGTATCATCTGCCCATGTTTATCCGTTTGCCTGCCCTGTAAACAGCTGTTCATTTTTATTTGAGCTCACCAATCTTTTTGCCTCTTTTTGCAATTTTCAAACCATTTAATCAAATTTTATTTGGGATATAGATTTAGAAAACATGCTTCACCTAGTTTGCCAGCTGGTCACAATGATACAAAAATTGGTTAATCAAAATTCCTTGGGGTGAGGAGACTTTGGACAGGACTTCAAATGATAAACAGGAAAGTGTCCACATGGTAATTTTAACCAGCTCTTGGTCAGTAATTCGAGTCCCCAATAATCTCCATAGCCTTATGGGAGATACCACAACTAAAGTTCATATGACTAAGACAATTCATTGTTGCTCATCTGATAGTATATTCATGCCTTCAGATATAAAATTGGGATTGTTTTTGCTGACTTTTTCTTATTTTCCAACCAGGAGATTCAGAACAGACCAACATGATGTCACCAGTCAAATAATAATTTTTAAACAAAAATTCATGTAATTATGATAAGTATTTTCTTTCAGATCTAGACATTTGTTTAGAGATGCTTCGCAAACTTCTTCAGTGCTCAAATATTAAAATACCCATGGTTAATAGCCATTTAATGTTCTCAGTTAAGTTTACTGCCTATACTGCACTGTATTGTTATCAATTTTCTGAATGTTCAACAACTGAAATTAAGAGATAATTATAAATTCCTTTTGGATTCCTTTTGCTAGGATCCACTGGATCTTTTCCAGAAAAAAATAAAAGATTATATGATACATGCAGAACAAAGAGACCAGCACAGGGGCAAGGGCCAGGTATGAGCCTTTCCCAGCCTGTTCACTGGCCCTGGCTCAGCCCTCCACTGCGCCATAATTAATGATACTCATCTGGCATTAAATGACACTGTAGCTGATCTCTTTCCCAAGTAAAAAAGTAAAATTAATAAAACAGGCCATCCTCCAAAAATCAGATGGCACTAGACATTCTAACAGCATAAGAGGTACTTATATATGTCAAATGAATGACATGTATGTTTCTAAAATTCCCTGGACCTCATCCTCCTTATGAGAAGCCATTACTAAAGTAATAATCATAAATACCCTGTTGATTGTATTATTTGACTCCTGCATAATTAAGGGATTCTTTGCCTTTGTCTCCTTTCGACTTAATTGATACACCTACCCAAGATAAAAAACCAGATGTCTTGTGAATGTAAAAGTGACAGATACCTTCCACTGTGGGCCAGATCCAAAGACAGAAGGCTAAACTTGGTCCTCAAACCCCACATGGAGAACTTCTTAATATGGCTTTTCATGTTTTCAGCAACAGAGATTAAAAAATAACAATCTGATCTTTTAGCAGTGACAATTGGAGCTCTGAGACAGGTAAACTGACAAAAGGTAGAGCTGCCTGAGCCCTTCCCAGACCATGCTTCAAGTGCAGCAAGGAAGGACATTGCACAAGAGAATGTCCCAATCCTGGCATTCCTTTGAGACCTCACCCCAGGGACACTGAACTGTTCTAGCCACTAGAGAGCAGGCAAGCAATCTTCTAACTCCTTTTCCTCACAGGAAACGCTACCACTGCCAGATTCATGGCTGACAGATCTGCTAGACTTGCTGATGAAGATTAATGTGTCTTGTGGCCCACAGCCCCCAGTAAGTTGTCCTTTTCAGAGCTCTAAGTACCACTAGATGTCTCAGGTAAGACATTCTCTATACTTGTGGACATAGAGGCCATGAATAGTGTTCCTTAGTTTTCAGGTCACTATATTAAGTCCTCAATCTCTACAGTGGGTCTTGATGACCAGCCTATGCAGTATTGATAGACAGGGCCTTATTCATGCAGGTCCCAGATTCATTTCTTCTCTGGTCAATTCCATAGTTTGACACACCTCCAATCCCACCTGCATTGCCCATGCCATGCCTTACCACTCATATAGTCATAGTCATAGAACTCATATAGTTATTTTTGTCATAGATCTTAAAAATGTCTTTTTTTATTCCTTTGTGTTTATGCAGACTGACCCAGAGGCTCTGAGGTATCAACAGCTTACACTTCTTATCTCTAATAAAACCTCTCCTCAGGGACACATAACACCCCCTTTGTTTCCTATTCATCAACTTCTCAGATACAACACTGATCAAGACTCACAGATTTTACACACATGCCCTGCCACAAAACTCTCAAATATCTGTCACCTTTGTACTTTTTCAGGATACATAAAAGCCTTTCCTATAACCCGGGAGACTGCTAATATACTTATTAAAGTTCTGTTATGGCAAATCATCCCAAGGGTACAACCAAGGAGGAGTGGCCCATACGTGGTCTTCTTGGCATCCTCAACAGTGGTCAGAGTTGCTAAACTGCCATCCTGCTTCCACGTCACTCAAGTGGTACCCTCCCAGTCCTAAATCTAACCATCCTATCATCTCTGTTACACCAAAGCCTCACAGCCACAACTCTCAAGCTATGACATGTTTTGTAATTCAGTTTGGTTCCTAATTTCTTACATTCTATTAATTATCCTTTTTACAGCAGGACTCTTAACAGTCTTTCTTAAAGACTGCCATGTCATGGATAAGATCATCTTCATGTTGTTCTATGTGACAACTGTCTTAGTTCTCTCTATCCTCAGCTGTTTGGTCAAACATAACACCCCTGAAGGCTTAGGATTTTACCTTCCCTGTAGTGACAGAGCCATGGCCATCCTCACTCCTCTTATTCTTTACAGCTCAACTTGTGGACCAGAGACAAGTCCTACCTACCTACCCTCTTAACTTTTACCATGTCAGATAGGGGAATAATCACCTCTCATATCTATACTCTTCTAACCCCACACTTAAGTTTTCAGAATTCCACTTCACCATGGTAATGATTCTACCTCACCATGGTAATGATTATGCATATTTAAATCAAAGGCATATTTCCTTCTAACTCAACTGGGTCCTTAAGTATGATAGTGGCCTGCCTCCTCATAGTGCCTTATCTCTTTGTTTTTCCAGTCTAACATGCAGGCATTAACCAATGATAAAGTTATCCTGACTGAAACACTGGCACCAGCTTCTGCATGGGGATCAACCATCATCCCATCAACTGTCCTAAACCCAAACATGGCACCCTTTTTCAGCAGGAAGTACTAAGAGAGAGAAAAACTTTGCCCTTTTCCTAACAATAAAAAAAAGAATGAAAAGATTTCACCCTAGATAGGATACTACAGCATTGAGAGGTGGGACCAAGGGACATTTACCTTCAGGTCATTTTCTCCACCACTAGACAATTTACCTGTGGTGCAAGATGAATTCCAATGGGCTGCTAGGATGTCAGCAATGACCGTTTAGGCACCAGCCCAGACCAAAGCTATATGCATGCCCCCAGACTACATGTCTGCCAGAGAATGCTAGGCCCCAGTGGTCATGGAGTTTCTCACCACATCCTTAAAAATAAAGACCACTTTACTTCATTTTCTGTCATCTAATTTCACCAAAAATCCTATCCTATACTTGTGAAGGGAAGATACAAGTTGGAGTCAGTGTCTCCTGAAAATTTCTGGTCTCCTTTGCAGCCCTAACCTTCAGGATGACCTTCCACTTAAGAGCTGCCACCAACAAGAGGATCCTCCATGCCAGGTCCATGGTGAGGAACATGGTGTAGAAGGAAGTGATGGCTGTGGAATCATGTAGCCATAGACATATCCATATTTACCTCAGGCAAATGAGGCATTGCATATTTACTTCAGGAAAATTGAGTTATTTGCATATTAACATGGCAGAAATTTCTTAGCTCTTCACTCAACCCTAATCAAACCAGAGGACAAAGTAGTTTTCCATAGGCTATGCAGCAGTGTGCTGTGAGGATCCATGTGCTTATCCTGTCTGAGCAAATGAACGTCCTGCCACTTCTGTAAGTCCTGTGCATACAGCCCTCACTTCTCTAAGAATCAAAGCACACAGAAAGGCTCTGCACTCTGAATCCCCCTCTGAATGAAATATATACCACCTGAACTTCTTCTTGGGCATGAATTTTTAATAAGACAGGTCTCAGATCCTAAGGAAACAGCTCCAGGTTTCACAACTGCTCCCAAACTGTAGAAGTGTATGGAAGATTCTAGTAATCCAGCTTCTCCTGAACCACAGGTTAGTCCCTGTCTGGGTCACAAAAATTTATATACACTGCCTCCAGCCCACAGGAAAGAGTTGAACCAGTTGCAGTGTATCTTTCAGTGTGGGTAAACATGATTTGTATCTAAGGCAGGCTTCACTCCATCTGCAAATGTCCCAAAACCAATCATCATGGTCTATATAACACCTTGGTGAAGAAGGTATGGCCTGCAGAGTGTCAGCCCACCCAGCACATGTATTAGTGCATGGCTCTATACCCTACCTGTGGCACATTCTACTGGACTCATCTTGTTGGACTTCTTGCTCAGTTTATTGGGCAAGGCACACTAGAATGATGACTCTGCACTAGATCTTAAGGGACCGAATTAGATTTACCTAGGATCTATACCATGATCAGAGGTGCTTTAGGCTAATTAGTGTGGCCTGTGCCTAGAATTCCCAGTGGAGCCACATGTGTGTACCTGTCCCAGACCAACTGATAGGTGAGACCCAGAGCAGGACACATTCATCATGTTAATAATCATGGCTCCAAAATAGAGCAGCCTGGCTGGACCATAGAATGGTCCAGAGCTTGTCTGGCCCAGAAAGGACTGCATTCAACCTGAGGAGGACTAGAGTGACTTTAGCAAACTTGGATCAGGAATCCAAACTGAGAACTTTACAATGTGGCCTTCAGGGTATCCCAAAGTGCTAAAAACTGTGTTTACCTCAAACCCTCATTATGTCCTGAGTTCCCTCCCAGCAACTGCCTAAGCTGTGGTATCAGGACCTCATGTTTCAGTCACCACTAGTCATATGAGCCCAAGGTTGCAGTTGAGGAGAGCTATGGAAGGACACATGTTTCTTGGTGTCTCCTGAACCTGATCTGCATAATGCAGACACTAGAGAAAACACACGAGGAGGTAGCATCATTGCCCACTGATCCTGTGAGTTACTGCCAGGGAAACATCTGGGTCAGAAGCTCCCTGGTTATCTGCTTAATCTCCATTAGGGACACCCAACTTCTACAGGACACCTTGTCAAATGGAGTGTCATGGTGCTATTCTGTTGGTTTCAGGATGCTTGTTTCTTCCCCTTGTGTCCTCAGATCCCTTAGCAGACATGGATACAGAGTCTGAATTCTCAGGCAGGAATTTCCGTTTTGTGATCCTTGGCCTGTGAATCTAGGTGCAAATGCAGAGAAACGCCTGGATGTTCCACAAATCCCAAAACAAAAAGAATAAACCTGGAATAAGACACGAAGAGGAGAAGAAAAAACGAACCTGAGTCTCTGAAGGATGTGAGCAGAGTGTAGCAGTTATTTGTGAGTGAGGCTGGACAGGGCTATCTTGCCCTCTCCTGTCTTATCTGCAGTCTGGTCCTTGGCTTCTACAAATTTTTGCTCAAATTAACAGAGGACCTGTAGCCTCTTCATCTTTCAGCCACTCTCATCACACTGTTTAAGTGAGCAAATGAAATTCACTCTTACTTTAGAGCAAAAAATCACCATGAGAGTAGAGAATAGAGTATAGAGGTATGCTTGATAATTTAAGGAAAGTTTTGTAATAAAATATGACTGATACATACAGAATCAACAGACTTAAAATAAGTAATATCAATATGAAATTTTGAGCCTCTGATAAAGAAACAGTGTATGTTATGAAAATGTAAATTTCATCATAAATATTCTCTATTATTTTACTGATTCATAGATTGAAATCTATGGGAGAAAATGGTATGGGGAGGAGAGATATAGAGAGACAGATGAGACAGTGACTGAGAAAGAGACACAAAGAGATTGTATCTCATTGCTGTTACAAAACACAAAACACACAGATGTTTAAGGAGGACAATTTTATTTAAATAACAGTTTATAGATATTCCAGTGCATAGTTCTTTGGTTCCATGTCATGACTACATGACAGAGGAGTCTGGAACATGGTAAATATTTCATGGAATGACAGGCATAAACAACCTACCTTAACTTTCAACTAGCCATTTGTATTCTATCTAGGCTTCAAGTCCATTTGTTGGTGCTACTCAGATTCAAGGTGGGCCTGCCATTATTCACACTCAGAACTGTGACAAATCCATTTAGCGCATGACTTTAACCCATATTCTCTCACCTTTGGCTACCCAAAGCCATATATCCCCACATAAGTAAGCATACTTACGTGGTATTTGGGGTCATCTAGATCCAAGTCATAGCATTTCATCCATGGTCCCCAAAGCATTCATGTGCAAAACAATTTAAATGCATTTAGTCCACCTATAAGAGTTGGCAAAATCTTAATATTTTCAGCAATGTTGACTTCTTAAATCCAAATTTTCCACCGAAGTATAAGCAGTGAACCATTTTAAGAACACCTTTAACACACAATAGCTCAAGGTAAATGTTCCAAAAAGATACAGAGAGAAAAAAGAAAAGAATGGAACTTAATCAACTCTAATACCCAGAAGGAAGATCTTTTAAATTCCATAGTTACACATCCAGGTTGTGTTACAATCTGTAGCAAGTTGTGAACTCTCAGGGGCTTGAATTCTGTGAAACTACAGAAATGAGAGTGAATGTACATTCCATGTCTTCCATGTTGAGACACGTTTGCTCTGTCTGTGTAGCTTCTAGGGAAAAATATTTCTGGCTTCTCCAAGAACATTCTTGGTTCTTCACTGGGATTGAGCTTCCTGTACAGTTTCAAACACTGCCTGCTCAGAATTACACTTCCTGCTATCCAAAGCCTTCTTCTGAAATCTGGTTAGGAGCCTTCCTGACTTCAAAACTCTTGAATTCTGCATGTGCCAAAATTCAATACAAGTTGAAAGATGCCAAGTATACCACCAAGTGGAATAATGGTCAATTTCTCTTTTTTTGTTTGTAGGGGACAAATGTCTCAATTTCTAACAGCTATGAGATCAGTCTGAGGAACAATTTTGCTGGGCCACCATCCAGAAAGAACATGATGAACTGTAACTGTCTTCTCAAAGTAAAGGTTGGTAAATTTGAGATTGCAGAGTGTGCAGTACTTCTAATATTTGTGATTTCTTCAATGCCATTTTTTTTCTATTATCCTATTCATATTTAACAACCAGGTTATTCTCTATTCCATTTTTCAAGCTTTAAATGTACTGAACTTTCAGTTCTGTCCAAAGTAAAAAAATAAAAAATAATTTTTAATCATTTCACTGAACCATTTGTTCTTGATTCACAAAATAAATGTGGTTAAAATCCCAACTGTGGTCATACAACCACCGCAATATTAGATGGCCTTGAAATTTGTTCTGCCAGGTTTATTGTCCCAAGTAGATTTAATCTCAGCCTTTATGAAAGTCTGTGGACAAAACCAAAAGTACCAACAAATTTTCTTCCCAAGCAGTACACTCATGGTCTGTAGTCCACAAAGTAATGTAGTCCTTATAGCTAACTGAGTTTTACTGAGCCTAATCTTTAAAGGATGCACTTTCATCATTCTGGACTTCTGATCTCTGATAAATACCTCCCATTAATTTCTTGTTGTGTGTGTGTGTGTGTGTGTGTGTGTTTACATTTCTGTCTTTTTGAGAAAGTCCATATCCAATGAGGTGCTGAACTCTCTAAATACCCCAGGCTGTCCTTGAACCTCATACAACCCTACTGCCTCAGTATCCCCAGTGCTGAGAAGAGAGGCATGTTCCACTCTTCCCATCAAGTTCAGCATACAGAAATCCAGGGTTGCTTCTTCAGCAGGCATTTACAAATCTTTTCAACATCTTTCTTAAAATCAGTTTCAAAGACTCATGAACATCATTGTCAGGTAAGGTCAAAATCACATCCACACTCTTAAAAGAAAATAGATCTTGGTTACTGTCAGATTTATGGGACAAAATGCCTAAACCTCATAAATTAAGAGTCTGTAAGTGCTTCAGTTCATAATCTGTTGGCTCTAATCCAGGGCATTATCATCAAAGGGCATGGCAGCAGAAATAATTTTCATAGTGTGACAGGATGGTAACAGTAAGCTTGATTTCATCTTTTCCTTTGTATTCTATTGAGACTACAAGCCTACTAATTGGTGCCACAAGGATGAGGTGTCCAAATTCTACACCCAGAAATATGCTAAGCCTATTTCATTAGTACACAGCATTGATCCATATTAACATGCCCTGTGTCCACGCCCCCTTTCAAAAGCCCCATAGATGAAGGCATGATGTCTTTGAAGGACATGTAGATGCAAGATGAGATACACACACTGAGAGGGAGAGAAAGAGATAGAGAGAGACAGAGACAGAGACACAGAGAGAGACAGAGACACAGAGAGAGACCACAAAATACCTTAAAGATAGTGTCACCATGGGTTTTATGATACCTGTTTCTAAGTTCTACAAAGAACGTGTAGTCTCTATGCCTGTTCAGCAACTATGAACTGAAAGAGTTCACTGAGCTCTGGCATGGTACAGTTAGGTCGCCCTTATTCCTTTCCTACCTGAGCACAATGCCCTGTTGCTGGTTCTGGCACTGACTTGTTGGCAAATCTCCTGATGATGTGTAGCATAAGGCAGAGCTTTGTGTTCTCAGACCCTGTGGAGAGGAATGTGAAGGACTTATGCCCCTTATCTAAAGCATTTATTTCAACATGAGAAAACTCTTCACCAGGGGGATAAATTTGCTACATAAATTCTTATATCACAATAACTTCACATTCAATAAAAAACTACCCTCAAAAAATCTTCAATGTATTTTGAAGTCTATGCAAATCATATTCCATCATCTAGTAAAATTCCTATTTGGAAGATCACTAAAGTAATCATTTAAATACACACTTATGCCATTAAATTTGAGAGAATACTTGGAACTCCGTTTCTTTACATGTCATCTGTAGCTTATGTGTTGCAGGGTCCCCTCAGGTCATATGATATTAAGACAATGAGCAAACCACAGAGCCTGAAAACAAGTCCTCTTTCCTCAGCTTCCACTTTTGCACCTGCTTCTGAGAATTTTCCTGGGGCTGAGTGGATCCTCATTGTTCCCTGCTCATCGTGGGGAGGGGCTCCTGAAGGGAGACTTGTGTTTGGCCTGCACTGATGTCCCTTCACTGTCTGTCTTGAACTGTAGACCATAACTATGTCCTATATTCTCAGACTGATAATTTGTAGTTACTATGTGCTCTGGCCTTCTCTGGAGATGGCCTTTTAATCTTCATGAAGTCTATGTAATAAATACTTTCTCCACCACTTACTAATTAGCAAGACCCAGTCTTCATGTAGCCTGGAAGAAGTGGTACACTTAGCTACTGAAGGTGAGTGAATCCAGAAGCTTCACAGGAGATTCTTCAAACCTGAGGGCTTCTTGGAGGCTCTGCACACTCTATCAAATGTAACTCACATTGAATACCTGCAAACAGAGAGTCAAGCTCCTGAAAATCACACATAGTAGTTGTTTATCCTACTCATGCACACTTACACACCAAGCACCTGTTATTCTTTATAAACCAACATGTAAAATATGAACCCAAGTCAGAATAATCTCCATGGTATTTGTTCATTTCTGGCCAGTGAGTCAGAGCACCAGATCATTGAGGTCTTGTTGCATTTCAGAACTGCAGAATCAGGCCTTGGCTGGTTCTCATCAGCAGAGGGAGACCCTACTACCTAAGTAGGCAATAGATATCTCAGAGAGGTCAACAACCACACAAAACATAGGTGTGCTGGAGAAGTTTGGTTAAAATGACAGCATTCAAATATCATGATTGCTCACTCTGGGATAGTGTTTTGAGTATATATCTCTTCCTTTCTCCCTTTTATGCATGGGCACAGGTCATGTAGTTTTTCTATTAATGTTTTCCTTGCAGTGTTGTAAAATTATGAAAGTGTCAAAATTATCATGTGTCAAATCATGCTTTCTGTGTAGGTCTTGATGCTCTTTAGAACATATTTTGGGCCTTTTCTCCCTTAAGATTTGAATACACTGCATCTAGTTCAGTGTGGGACCACAGAAGGATTCACCTGATGCAGGTTGGAGTTTTCTATCCTTGCATTGTGAACAAGTGTGATTGTGTCATTCAGGGTTTTCTGGAGAAACAGATAAAATGCAAGACATACAAATGTATGGGAAATTTCAAGATTGGCTTATGGTACTCAGCCAAAGATTCAGATAAGGAATTGTGTACAGGGTGTCTGCACACTGGAGGCCAAAATGTCCAACTCAAATGCTGGAGCTTACTTCAGTGTCTTCTGCTAGTCTGTATCAAAAATTCAATAGGTCTATGATAGACCACTGAGGGATCTATGAAGGAAGGCTGATGAGTCTAGGATGAAGGCTGAAGAGTCCCAGGTGAAAGCTGAACAATTTGTGCTAAAATCCATGTGTCTTGGTTACTGTTCTCTCTTGCTATTGAAATAAAATACCTGATGCCCAAAATTCAGGAAGAGAAAGATTATTTCTTACAGTTTGGAGATTTCAGTCCATACTCATTTTGCTCCAAGGCAAAATTGCATGGAGGACTGGCAGTGGTTCATGGCTGCTCCTGGATCAAAGTACAGACCAGCAAAAGAGAAAGAACACACAATTTCTTCAAGCTCTTACACTAATGCTGGCTCAACCCCTGGGCATGTGTAGCACTCATACCACTAATCCAAGTGATGAATGATGAACAAATCACAAGTGCTTGATTCAGCCATGTCCATGACTTCATGAGACATGGGGTGGGGTGGGGGGCAGGGAACGTGACATAAACCATAACACCAGGAGAGGATGTCAAAGCTGCAGGTGAAGGCTGGAGCTCCTCCACAGACCAAACAATCACTTTTCATTTTCCTGATTTTTGAAGGTGCTGGGTGTGTTTGTAACACCTGGATATTGAATTGTTTTGGAGATTACCTAATGTTTCATGTCCAATGATGATTGTTTTATGACATTTGGCAAAACAGAATGTGGTGCTTTTCAAATTACATTTATAATTATGTTTATTTCCTATTTAATTGCTCCCTTAAACAATTTGTAGAGAACTTCTTTGTCTCTTCTGATGTGTTATAGCTTAAAATCCACTCTGCCTGAAATAAGTATGGAGCTTGGCATTCTTTCCCAGATTTTTATTGAAAGGAACATAATTTATCATAATTTATTTTAAACCCATGGATTTATAATTGAATTATATGGCTTTTTAAATACTGCAGAGTGTTGGACTATTTATAGCAATCCATTGTGCCAATTTGTGTCTTTTGGTAGGAGAATTGAGACTATGTACATTACTGGTTCTTACTGAAAGATATTGAATTATTACTATCATTTTATAAGTTTCCTTTGTTGATTTTCATTTTTTAAATTTTTATTTTAAAGAAAATAAGAGTGGTACAAATTTTCAAACTAAGATTGTCAGAGAGTATTTCTGTCTTCAAAATAGTCATTCATATTACAAGATATAGAAGTGAAAAATTAATGAAAAAATACAAGCATCAAGCTTTCTTTTAAATTAACTGATTGCAATTAGTGGTATAACTATCTTACCTATTTTTTGTGCATATATTTTTTCTTTTACATTTCATCTAAACTCCTTTTTGTCATCCCAGTTTCTTTCTTTGAACAATTTCTTTACATTTTGCAATATCTATCATAAATTTTGGATTATTTACTTTTCAAGCTTCTTACATTAAGAAGATAATACAGAATTTCCACATGAGAGACTGATTTATTTCTTTTAGGAGTATGAACTCATGTTCTATCCATTTACATTTAAAAGTATCCAATTTGCCCTAATTGATAGCTGAATAGTACTCCATCATATAAAAATACCACTATAGAAACCTCTGGGGAGATATCTTTTAAAACTATTATTAGAGGTCTCATTTGACCCAGATATTCCCCTTCTAGGTGTCTCCTCATCAGAGTTAAAAACTTATTACCACAGTGACATATGTGCACCTGAGTTAATAGCAGCCTGATTTGTAATTGCTGAATCTTGCAAACAAATCAAATGCTCATCAACATAGAAAGATGTGGTATTTTTACATAATTAAG